GTACATTTGTTTAGGTAAGAACACATCCTACTTCTTTTGTCTTGAGAACCATAGACTGACTTTAACTGCAGAAAAGCTCAGAATTTTTGCCAGACTGTCTTTCTGGTTTTGATGTGGAATGTAAACATTCAGATCCTGAGGGATCACAGAGAATTAAGCCTGCTTTTTTCAGCCCAGAATATATTTTACTTTCAAAGTTTTGCAGGGTTGAAAGAAACCCATCAGTTAGGAGGTAAGTACTTCTGAATGTTTCTAATGCTCAGCTGTTAGAAAAGAGGAAGAGGTTTCCCAGGCAAGGTTTCATTCTGGAAGGGGCTCTTTCCCCAGTCAAATCATAGAAAGAAATCCTGTGGTCACTACCACATGAAAAGTTGTGTTTGAGGGAAACTACCAGTTCAGAATCTTACATAAAGTATTTAGTTTACACTTCCATCTTTTCCTTCATCTTTCCTGGTAACCCAGGAAAAGTTCTAACTTTTATGCTTGCTCTCCAAGGAAGTGCAGGTGTCTGTGCACAGATTTCTCTGTAGTTTTCCACCTCCTAGAAAGTCAAAGGCAAAGTTAAAGAGGTAGAGCTGTTAGCAGCAAACACTGGGTACCTTGCTTGCCAAGCCTGCTATCAGAATATGTCGTATTTTTTTTTGTTATTTAAGTTTCAGTATTACTCAGTGCTATGTTGCACTTCTCTCTCTTCATAAAGTGCCCTAGATGCTGCTGACAGACACTTTTAAGCTGACTACAAGTCATTAAGCAGTTTCTTTTTCTGTGTGCCAAATGCTGGCATTTGTGAAAGGAGGAGAGTGAGGGTGAGGGCAGTAGCGCTGTGTTACCTGCTCATACATTTCAAAAGAGAAATCTTGTCTTAAACTGCAAAAAGGTGAAGGGAACTTTGGGAAGATCATTCAGTTTTGAAATAAGGATCTCCATTCATGCACAGATGTTCTTGTAACCTGTAGTTATTACAAGTTTTGGTTTCTGGGGGCAAACTTTGTCCAAATCCCCCTCTACAGCACAGTGACAAATGTCATCCCTAAACAAGTCACTGTAGCAACTCAGGAGCCACTTTGCTGGAATGACATGGAAATGTCTGATAGTCCTACAAGCACCCAGACATCTTCCAGCTTAAAGTGACACTGTAGATAGCAGCTAATGCTCCAGAGCTAGTGAGGCTTCTCTCAAAGGAACCAAAATACAGAAATCTGGAAAGACATGTTTCAGGGCTATACCTTCTTTACATGAATCTCTGATGTTGCCATAAGTGCAGCTTTGTTAAAACTTAGAGAAATGAAATTACATTTATTTGGGCTTGCAAAGTTACAGTATTCAACAAACCAAATTTTCTCCCATCTAAGATGTAACTCGATGTTCTTTGCAAGAACTCTTTTCCAGGATCCTGCTATTTGGTCCATTGCTTGGCCAAACCTCTCTGTATCCAGCTTCGTTGGCAACTCAGAACATAACCATTCCTCCAAGGAGAAACAACAGTAGCCTCCTATTGGACTGTTCACATAGATACTCTTACATGGTTAAACATAGGATAAATTGGTAAGTTCTCCTCTTATATGTCTACCTTAGACTTGACATGTCGCCTACTTTTGCAAAAATCATTCAGAATTTCTGTTAGCAACCAAAACTACCCTGTGCATGCAGAAATGGTGGGACTGTGGTCAGGACAGTGGGCACTGATCACCACATGCAGTACAGAAAATGAAAATAATTAAGACTTTCTGAAAACCCATGTGTCATTTAGGACAGGAAAAAAAGGGAAATAAACCAAGTAATTAAATACAAGTTCTGAAATCAGAATTGCTCCAATTATGTTTAAACAGCGCAAGAGTAGAGATAAACCTGGGGAATTCTTTGCTGTAACACACTGATTTCTGAAGGTTCACATCTAGATCATTTAAGAACCAAAACCAGACATCTTGTCAAGGGCTACAGCTTCTGCAGAAGATGCTTCATTCTGCACTAAAATGAAAATGGGAAATATGGTTAAAGATACAAACGAAAGAAATTTAAGTCCAGTGCAACCAGTAATTTTCAATAGAAATTTTTATCCAAGTGAGTTTTCTAGAGTTCTTTGTGATTAACATTGCCTGTGTGCAAAGAAGCATTTTTTTTAAAAGCATCTCAGGAAATATTTTTAATATTTTGTGCTTGTTTTGAAAAGGAGGACCATACAAACACTGTGAGATTTCCCATCAGGTCAGAGCCCATAAACCAAACAACCACAGCACATGCTGTCTTTCTAGCCAGGGTCTGTGTCAATTGTATAGGGCAATTTTGAGAGCTAAATTTTGGTGGTGGGAAGGTGGACTTGGTCTAACTGGGATGGAGTCCCTTTCCTTCCCAGCAGCCCTTATGGTGATGTCTTTTAGATTTGTGATCACTGTTGAGACAGAAGACCCAAACTGACCAAAAGGATATTCTGTGCCATATAACATCACACTCAGGAATAAAACTAAGGGTAGAGGGAAGTTTTTTCCAGAGTAGGCATTGCTCAAAGACTGCGTCTGCTTGGTAGAATGGAGCAAACCTTTGTCCTGGTATTACCTCTTGTGGCTTTTTTCAGTTTCATTCTCTTATTCAGCTGTCTTTTTCTCAACCTGCAAGTTTTTCTTTCTTCAGCACTTCTGATTCTCCCCCTGATCCTGCTGTTGGGAAGTGAATGGGTTGACCAGATGGAGCTTTAGCTGCCAGCTGGGGTCAACCCTTCACAGGACACAAGACTAGGACAGCAAAGGAGACAAATCCGTAGGGAGTCAGTTAACTTCAGTTTTGTTGCTCCCACAATTATTTTCTGCCAGTTTTACAATTCAAAATAAGTTCCAAACTTGGAAGAAAAGAAAAAAAAAAAAAGTTACTTTCTTTTTTTATACAAATACAAAGATTCTACAAGGATAAGTGCAAGGATAAGGGAGGTTTAGATCAAATGTTAGGAAAAATTTCTTTACTGAAAGGGATGTCAAGCTCTGTAACAGGCTGCCTAGGGAAGTGGTTGAGTCACCATCCCCAGAGGTATTTAAAAGCTGTGCAGATGTGATGCTTACGGACATGGTTTAGTGGTGGACTTGACAGTGTTGAGTTGGACTCAATGATCTTAAAGTTCTTTTCTGATCTAAATCACTATATGGTTCTGTAGTACTATGATTCTATATATATTATAAGTGTACTCATATGTATATTTACTTGGGCATATACACACATGAAAAATTGCTTTACTACCATGTAACCAATAAAATTTGTTCAAGAAGATTATTTGTATTATACATATATCCACCAAGATAAAAATCCAAATCAAAGCTATGTCCTCTGGGTTCTGAATGCTCTGCAATTACATATCAGGAAAGCAGCCTTCTCTCAAACAGTTGAATAAGCTGACATGAATTTAAGACACTTCAATAAATTCACCTGTTGCAGCTCAGAATGGCCCAACATATAATTAAATTGACTATCTACTAAAAAGCAGACTGGGGCCTGTCTCTCGGTCACTCCAGCCATAGGCTGAGTTTCTCCAGTGATATTTAGTCTTGCAGAGCTCAAGTGCAGACAGAATGAAATGGTGGTGGTTTTGAGAATGTGGTCTCTGAAAAAGATGCCTGCAATCACACAGGGCAGACCACACCACTGAAAAAAGTGCATTCAGGAAACGAATGAACTCTGGTGCACGACATGAGCGCTCACACATGAGGGATCACACAGCAAGCTGGGGCAGACACACTGCCTGAACTCTTCTGCATTGGGAGCACTCTGTCGCCTTTGTCTAAGAACAGGTGTGGACATAATTTTCTGAACCTGAGAGAATTTCAAGCACTCAGGGGTTGATTGTTCCCAAGGGAAAGTCTTTTGGGAACTGTTCTCTCCCAAGGAGTGTTGTATAAAAACAAGGTTTTGTTTCCCAAAATAAGACACAGATGTTCTGTGAGTGTTTTGTCTCTTGTCCCACCAATAGGATGAGGAAGGTGTTGTTTCTTCTACTAATCAGAATAACCTGTATCGGAACACCCTATAAAAGGGTTGAAAAACCCCAAAATAAAGGCTTTTTGCCTCATGAAAACCTCTAGCTACTTGGTGTGATATTGGAACCCTCACTGTATATTTTGTGTCCTCTAGTGACAAACAGCCATGACACTTCCAGGAAGAGGCTGATTTCAAAACCAACATCGGGCCATGGGCAGCCACCTGTCTGCCATGAAGTGTCTGATAGAAGCAGTCATGGTGGCACAGGAAGACAGAGCAGCTCTTTAACACTCTAGCTCTAGACACTGAGGAGCTCTCTTTGAGTGGCTACCAAAGGAAGGCATCGATTGCGCTTCCTCACTAAGTAACCAGGAGCACTTCTGGTCCCTCCAACATCTATCTTCATAAAATCCTCTGCCAAGCCTCTCATGGGACACACAGGAATTTTTACATGTTCTCTGTGAGAAGACAGTTCTCTGAGCTTTTCAGAGATCAAGTTACACAAATCTGTGCTTCTGCATCTGACTCACAGTCCTACCAGGGACTTGGGAAAAAGGAGATTTTGGAGACTGGAGGGGCTGCCACCCAAATTCGTTCTTGCAGGGGAAATCCAGTGCCTCCAACAGTTCTTAAACCAAAACAGAAGGGACAGAGAGTTTGCACAACCCTTGCAGTTCCTCATTGTTGTCTTACTGGAAACACTGACTGACAAAGGGTGAATAACAATATCACATGAAGAACTGTAGTGCACACTCTTAGCTATGGCCATATCTGCCTTTCGGCTTTGTGCTCTCTCCAAGACACTCTACCAATCTAAACTTTGCAGCTCCTGAATAAGGGCTGTAAACAACTACTGAAACAAGGAATCAAAACTCCTAACATCCCCAAACAGCAGTGTAGAGGCCTTTCAGCTGACAGGAAGATGCTACAACAGAGACAGATACAAGAGGCCACTCCTACAGCAACTCTCATCTTTTGCATCATTTGCTAAGGTCTTTGTCTGTCTGTTCTCTCTACAGGACTGTGCATCAATTTCATTCCAGAGCTGAAACCAGCACACTTCCACTGCCTACACCTGCCTGCACCTGCCCTAGGCTCTGTAAAAGAGCCAGTGTTTGCCATTTTAACCCAGACCAACAGTGCTGACTTTCCACTCATCACCACCCACAATAGCACAGGTGGGTATGTTTAGTACTGTCCTAATTCCCATGGGCATTAGAGCTCCCAGAACATCACTTGAAGCAACCTGAAGAAGTGCATGAAGTCAGCTGGTTTTTACCCATGTCACAGTGCCTTTGCAGGCACCATTTACACATGACCAGTGCCTGGTCCTCCATGAGTAAGGGCTACGGGATGGACTGACATGATGAGCAGGTGGCCAGATCCTGAGGAGAAGCAAGACTACACTCTGCATTCCAGACACTGTGCTTTCCTGAGGCTGCTTTCCTGGCTTTCTACACTCCTCTAGAAAGCCACTGATGAGCACAAGAGCCCCAAACTACCCGTAACTCATTAAACTCATCCATCCTCTCCCCCTGGGTCAGGCAACTGACAGGTTCTGCTGAGAAGGGAAAACACACAAGACAGTGTACATATGGGAAACTACATAGAGCACACTTCCAACATGCACCAGTGACACTCCACGGATGTATAGCTGGGTTTCCTGGGAGCTCTGTAATTTCATTGTCTTTCACACCCTGACAAAGTAATGCTTGTGTGCTCATCAGAAAAACTCATTTCAGAAGAGAACATCAGCTTGTTTCATTCTCTTCACTGCAAAGCTTGGAGATTCCTCTAGTTTAATGTCTTCTTCTTCCTTTCCAGACCAATACACCATGGGAAATGAAACCACAGACTTCACTTACTGGCCACTGACAACAGAATTTGACTACGGTGATTCAACACCATGCATGGGAACTGAGGAAAAGCACTTTGCAGGAAAATTTTTGCCACCTCTTTATTCTTTAGTGGTGATATTTGGCCTGACAGGCAACATGCTTGTTGTCCTTATCCTGGTAAAATACAAGAGGCTGAAGAGTATGACTGACATCTACCTGCTCAACTTGGCAATTTCTGATCTGCTGTTTGTATTTTCGCTCCCTTTTTGGGCTTATTACGCAGTTCACGACTGGATTTTTGGGGAGGCGCTGTGTCGAATTCTGTCAGGTGTCTACCTCCTTGGCTTTTACAGTGGCATCTTTTTCATAATCCTGCTGACCCTGGACAGGTACCTGGCCATAGTGCATGCGGTGTTTGCTTTGAAAGCCAGGACAGTCACCTACGGCATCCTCGCCAGCGCTGTCACTTGGGCTGTTGCTACTCTTATTTCTGTCCCTGGGGTAGTATTTCACAAAACTCAGAAGGAAAGTTCAGGCTATACTTGCAGTGCTCATTTTCCAAGTGATTCCACTATAAATTGGAAGTACTCTTTTGTTTTAAAGATGAACATTCTGGGACTTATTGTTCCAATGCTCATTATGATTTTCAGTTACTCACAAATTCTAAAAACATTATTGAGATCTAAGAATGAGAAAAAACAGAAGGCAGTCAGACTTATTTTTGTAATCATGATTTTTTACTTCATCTTCTGGACACCATTCCATATTTCTTCTTTTTTGCATACATTTCAAAATTCATTTTTCATCCCAAATTGTGAACTTAAAGGCCAACTGGAGAAGGCAATTCAAGTGACAGAAACAATCTCAATGATCCACTGTTGCATCAATCCTGTGATCTATGTATTTGTTGGAGAAAAATTTAGGGCATATCTTTATACCTTTTTCCGAAAGCATGTCGCACCCCACCTTTGCAAAAAATGTCCAAGTCTTTATCGTGAAAAACTGGAAAGAGCCAGTTCCACATTCACACAATCCACTGCAGAGCACGACATCTCTACTGGACTGTAAAAATACATTACATCAGAACATCAGTTAGCAAATTTTGCATCACTTGCTTTGCCTTAAGCAGTGTCTGACACTATTTAAGATCTTTGTGTTGACCACTACTGAAAACTGTATGACCCCCTATTCTTGTGGTCAACTGCCCCCTGAGATTACAGCATTTTCCATTGCTAAACTAAGAGAATCAATGAGTTCTCCAGGAAACATTAACTGCATAGCTGGGTCACATCAAGTTTTAAACAGGGTCCAGACGAATATGTGTGCTTTTTTACAAAAATCTGTCCACTGAGATTTACTGAGGGGGAAACACAATATTGAAAATCTAAAGGGTAATAGGTCATCTCACAAGATCTTACTGGGACCATTTAACCCAAGGATTTTTCTGTTTTTCTGATAGTGCAGTCATTTTTAAACATAATCCTTTAACAGTTATAACTAAGTTATAGCATTTTGATTTTTGTTTTTTAATTTTATGTCTGCCATATCACCATTCAGTTGCTGACTTTTTCCCAAGTGTGCTTTTAATCAGCAATGCGATTTTTGTAGGTTTTTCAAGAAACTGCACGCACCAAGTTTACTGACTGCACAAGACAATGATGCACTCCTAAAAAGTGTGAGCTTGTTTCTGACAAGTCGTATCATGCCAAGAAAAAAAACCAAACAAAACACTAAACCAGTAAAGGCCTTTCAGCAAAGATCTGCAAGACCAGAATGAAAATTACCTTGGTATGTGCTATGCAAGTTTCTGTATGAGAAAAATATCAGGACCCTCTGAAAGATGTGAATACAGTATGAAAGCAGGCTTACCTAGTTCTGGACAGGTAAATCACCTGCAGAAGAAGAGTTTTCATGGCAACACATGACACTGGTGTGTTAAGTTCAGTTCCTGCACAGGAAAAACATGCTCTTCGTACACACAGGAAGTCTTACTTCTGGGATACACTTCTAGGACGACAGTGGCCTTGGAACTGCAAAATCCATACAAGGCATACCTTCCTGCCTGCCCAGGAGAAGAGTGCCTCCAGCCAACTGGTGCCTCAATGAGAACTGCATGCTGATTGAGGACTCAACTCCATTGGCTCACTGGTGTACTATGGCCATATATTTACTCCACTATTAAGAGTTTCCCTGTAAAAGAAGGGAATTCTAGGGACATGGGATTAGCAAAGAAGAGGATGGAGGAGCATAGCAGACAATTTCCTACTTCAAACTGTAAAGAAGTGTAGGCAAGCACTCTTTATGCGAGTGAACTGTCGTTCTGGTTTTCTCATCATTTCCTTGGAAGGGCACTGCTCATGTGTGCAAGGACTTGCTCATGGAAATCTGGAGGGGCAGGTTCAGCTAATCTCCAGCAAGGACACCAGAGGGAATTCCACACTATTTATTGTCAGGCATGCGATGCAGATGCCTAAATTAACAGCAAATCTCTTCAAGGTTCCTTAGTGGTTAGTAGAGAATAAGAACTGCCTAAGCCAGGAGCAGTTATGGGACTTAAATAGTCTCAGGGGAAGATTAACTGTCCAGCTGTGGAAGGAACACGAAAATGCCAGCCTCTTAATTTGGGTATCAGATTCCTTAATCTAGGTGGTACAAATACTCTTCCTCTTGCCTCAAAATACCCAGGCACTGCTTCTCTTATCCTTCCAGCTATTATAACCTTGTGAGGTTAATAGCCACATATGGACTACACAAAAGACAAAAAACTACCCTCACAGTAAACTTTCTTGATTGGATATAATAGTTCTCCTTTCTTTTCTACCATCTTTACTGAAACAATGTGGAAAAGTACCTTTATAATTTTAAAGCATAAATTAGTTCAGTGCAACACAAATCCTGCTGTGATGGTGATATTTCTACTGCTGTGTTTAATTGTAAATCCTTATCTTGTTGGAATTAAATTTCTTCCCATTTTCATGTTAATGCAGTGAAATTAATAAAATCAGTGTCTGGAAATCTGTGTATACCCTGTAGCTCATGTTCTCTTCTGTAAGCAAAATGACATTTGTTCTGCTCTCAGAGCGGAGAAGGGAAACAGACACATGGGCACTTGCAATACCACACTTCAAACTAAACAAACAGAGAATTATTGTCCCAGTCCAGAAGCTTCTGAAGCTGGCACAGCTTTTATCCATCAGAAAACTTTAGAAGAGTGACCTACAATAGCTTTGGAAAAAGTCTGGGGCCACAGATTTTAAATGAGTGAGATTTGGAGAAGGAGGGTTGTGCGTGTTATCAATAGAGAAAGAGTGGGAATAAAAGATGTCACTCTTTTTAATATTGGGATAAAACCAGAATTCTCCATAGACTTTCTCCAGCAAATTTGAGATCTCATTGCACCATATAGAATGATCCCAGACAAGCAGTGTGGAGTAATGCCAGACAAAGAAGTTGCTTGTTGTCCCAAGTTTTATGTGTAAGGAACTTAAGCCCTCCAAGTTCAATGTGGAAATATGCTTTTGCTTCACCCAGCCATTCTCCCTGCTTCATTGTGCTCATTCCCTTTTTTCAGCCTATGATCCACACCTTCTCCTCTGTCCACCATGGGATAAACTGAATTCTATAACCACACCCCCTCTTTATTTATTTATTTATATAGGTCTGATTTCAATCTTCTATTTTGTGCTGCAGGAACACAAATGAACTAAAACATTATCCTATTGTTATGTACCCAAGCAGGATAATCCTTGGTTCTTCATTGCAGCTTTGCACTGAGACACGCAGGGCTCTAGACAGTTTTGTGGCAGTTTTTGAGTCTTAGTCATATGGGGCTGCACCACTGTACAGCCACAGGCCAGGTAGCCTCAAATCAGGCTAGCAGGACTTCAAGCAGTCTGGTCACAGAGGGATGGATAATCTCTTGGGGAAGGTTTAACAAGGTTTGCAGTCCCCATGAAAGAGAACTCATGTCACCTCAGCAAAGAAGTGGTAGAAATTTTACATATGAGAGACAAATATTCCATAACTCAAGGTCTGCAGGGGAAAAACATTGAGATGAAGACATAGTGTGTATGAAAGAGCTAGAGGCACAAGTAGATGCACCCAAACTGTGCAATGAACTAGAGGTATGTGAGGAAAATGGCAAGGATTTACCAATACGCCAGGATTGTATAGCAGAGAAGAAACTAACACAAAGAAGAACCACTGCAGTGGTTGTGAGGCATCTGAGCTTCTCTGGTGAGATTTTGAGGGGATTTTGAGCAAGCATTTGAGAGAGTCTCACCAGGACATCAGATTCAAGACAAATCTTTTTGAGCACCACAAATAACTGCTGCTTTACAACAAATGTCGAACAGCTAAGTGAAAATTTTTGCAAGCTCTAAACTTTTGGCATGGAACTCCTAAAGAGATAGCGTGGTGCCTGGGCTTTCAGCATGCTTGTGAAAAGAATGGCCACATGCCACAGGCAAACTTCCTAAGGGGCTAAAGTGCATATGTGGTACTGGTGAGTGCTGCACTCACCAGAAACCACCAGGTTTATAATCATTGCCACTAGTTTGTCTGTGGTAAGTATATAATGGACAAACAGAAATAGTGAAACTTTCGGTAACCAGCACATAGGGACGTTCTTGTCATAAGACTCTCTTGTTTGTTAAACCAACAATAACCTTATGTGTACATATTTTATATAAGTTAAATGAAAATGGGGTATAAAGGAACAGGAGTAGATGGAAACGGATAAATAGAAAAAAGTAGTCAGTAAAATGAGAGAATGACTTTATTAGCCCTAACAGATACTAAAAAATACTAGCCATACAAATGGGAAGACCAAAGGTAAATAAGGTTTAAGCAGAACCTTAAGAGGTTTATATAAGAAAGACTTCCAGTCATGAAGCTCCAAAATAAAAATATCTCCTTCCAGTGAAAATTACAGGAGGAATAAATACAGAGAATATAAGGACCAATTAGAATATAAGGACCAATTTACATGGTATTTTGCTGTAGTTAATTAGAGACAAAGATAGTGCCAGGAGAATAACATGACACTGACCAGGTTAAATGGCACAACAGGCAGATACTGCTTATTTTGAAATTTAATTTTGCTGCTGTTTTCAGCTGCTGATGCATACTGGCCTTCATTAGGAAGTGTTTGGTGTGGTCAGTGGGGCCTCAGAAGCATTACTCCCTAATAAAGTAATAAAAAAATTTAAGCTAACAGAGGAAAAATAACAAACCGGAAAATTCTGGTGCATTTAGAATATCTATAGCAACCAAGCCAGAACAAAGAGGTGCAGGCATTGCTTTGTACCTGTATTTTGGTGACACTTGCCTACTAGGAGCTGTACTTTATGAAAAAAATTGAATAGGAGGATTTTAAAAAAGATTGTCAAAGCTTGTGTAACTGCCAAGATGTTTTGTATGTCTGGTGACAGAGCGAGAAATCTTGGTTTGAGTGTTTGAGGTCTGGAATGACTGTTCCTGGGAAGGTGAGACACTGAGACAGAGGAGGGCAGCATTTTTAGAAACATAGGCCAATATGCAAAACTGCACAAAACTCCAAGCAATGCTCAGCTCTCCAGAACTGTCTACACAGCTGTGCTGGTAGGATGCTATCCACACAACACGAACAACATGACCTATCCTGATACCAGACTTATTGAATGGAATGGAAACCAAATGGGTGGAAGTAAAAGAGCCACGGGATATACCTTGCAGGGGCACTACTATAAGGTATGGCAAATTATAGACTATATCTAATCTTTGACTCTCAAAGTACTTTCTGGTTTCTAGGGACTGGTATTGTCCTGAGCATGGATTCTTTCACCTGGTGCAAGAAGCTGATTCACACATACAGTTGAGATACTTTTTTTTGTTTATATCTGGGCAGAGAAGGTGAATCCACAAAGCTAACACACCTCCAAAATGTCAAGTGCTCATTTTTATATGCTTTGAACAAAACCAAAAATCAGCATTTTCCACACATGTACCAACCTAAAGCTGAAGAGCTTGGCTTTGCATTCTCTGATCTCCATTTAAGGGAGTGTACACTTCCTTTACCCTGCATGCTCTGTGAAGAAGGGGATTTTGTAAGAGGCAATCATAGTCTGTAGGCAGGTATTTAACTCTGTTAATGACTAAGCAAACTTCTTTGGCTTTATCAACAGTTTCATTTTCTTTGTAGCTTGATTTATAGTGTTCTCCTGTTCTTACTTCTCAGGTTATAGATTTTGGTTCCTGCATGTTTGGTTTTTCCTTCATTTTTCCTAAGCTCTTTTATTTATCCTGTACTATTCTTCAGTGATTTTTTAACTCTTTCAAGCTACTTTATTGCCTTACTGGCATATACTTTGTCATCAGACTCTGTTCACCCTCTGTGTGACCTAGTTTTCACTGGGAAGAAATTTGGTGTGTGATTTTCCCCTGCTTGATAACTAGGTCCAGGAGTTACAGGTAGACAGGAAGAACATACCCAATGCACAGATGAAATAGCCCCAAAACACCAAACTCTAGACCTAGAATTTATGTACTATAAATGTACCTGAAAAATCCCCAAAGTGTGTGAATTAAAGGCATATGTAAAAATGAGATTCTGAGAGATGGAACTTTGTGAAATGCATAACTGTGGCCCAAAAGTAAAATCTATTGTATAATAACAACTCTTTATCTATAAATTGGGAAAGCATACATCAGAAACCTGGACAAGAATAGTAGAAGGAAGCAATATTCTCTTCTTTGCGGTATAAAGAAACATAGTTCAGTAAGAGCACCTTGTAGAAAGTCAAAATAAAAACAATACCATGACAATAGAGATAGGATTTGCAGCACTGTATAATGACGTATGTGTCAGATTTACAAAGAAGAAACAAACAGACAGCCTAAGAATTATAGGAGAAAAAGCTCCAAACCTTTGATGTTGTTGACAATAAACAACAACGTCAGGAAATGTTCATCAGCTTTAGAAATATTTGCGGCTTCCAGAACTTGGTTTTGTAACCCATCTTCTTTAACACCTATGTGTGATGTGTTTTGGTTTTTTTTACTAGTCACTACGATAGAAATCTTAGGGTGTGGTACATCGTGCCTTTCCCCTGTTCTCCCCAAAAGCATACACCTCACAGATGTTAAGACTGTGATGGTAGCCTCAAATGATGAGTCACCAGAACTTTAGAGCCTGAAAGAGAAGGCCGGTAAGAAAAATAGCCTAAGCAATAACGTAGTTTGAACCAGACATCTTTATTCAGCCTTTTCAAGACAAAGGCACTTGTTACTGATGAAATAAAACACATGCTAATACTAACCTAGTTTGGACACATATGTGAATAGAACAAGTAATAAGATTCATCTGATTCATATTCACTTGTCTTTGACCTCCAGATGAAAAGGATTAACCACTGCTGTAGTGACAGACTTTTAATAAAACTGTTGTGTGCTATCACACTGACTATATCTAAGAAAGGTATTTGTCATTCTGTCCCAGGGTTCCTTCTTCCCCCACAGCCTTTCTTCAGGTGGTGCAAGTTTGCAATAACTTGAATAGAAACTGTTAGTTGAATTTTCAAGTTTCTATACCCATACTTATACTTGGTGACACTTGTGTATCACAGTGGTACATGAATTTTTGGTATGTGTCCCTATAGCCAATTTGGTACTGGTGTAAATCTCACATAAATTACAGCATCTCCGTGGGACCACTCAAACACTTCAGTGATAGGGGCTGGTTACTGTAAAGATGAATCAAAGATGAGTCATTGGATAGGAAAGACTGACAAATGCAGTTTGACTTGACAGTGTACATGGCTGCACACTTACATCAACCTGAGTCCCACAGGTGGGGAATGTAGCTCACTTCCTTTCCAGGAATATATTTACAGAGGGAAGGAGCATCACACCACTAAACATAACTCCAACTCATCTCTGAATGAAGACCATGATAGGTAAAATTCAAAGCTATATCAACCCACTGAACCATTACTTTTGTTACTGAACAGTAGCTTCAATTTCTT